CCACCCCATCTTTCTGAGTCATGGGCGGTGATCTTTGATTGCTCTCTGAGCCTCCATTTTCCATTGGTCATGGCTTAGTAATTCTTCACTATTTTGTTGGCTTTGTGTTTCCTTCATTAGTTCTCAATTTTTATCACACCACCTAGTTTTTCTTGTTGCTGGAGAGAGTGTAGAACAAATAATTGATTCTACCATTATCAAAAGTTGAAGTGTCACAATAATTTTAAAACATGTTTAACACCCTATTGAGGTATAATTTATATACTGTTGTATCTGGAGAGTGCAAGTGTACAATTCCAATGAATTTTAGTAAATGTGCAGAGTTGTGTGACAATAATCACAATCCAGGGGTTGCTTGGGTGGCTCAGTGGGTTGAGCGTTCGACTTTGGCTCAGGTTATGATCTCATGGTTCTTGGGTTCTAGCCCCTTGTCGGGCTCTGTGCTGACAGCTCAGGGCCTGGAGCCTGCTTCAGATTCTGTATCTTCCTCTCTGCCTCTCTCCTACTCACACTGTCTCTCTTTATCTCTCTCTCTCTCACACTTTCACAAAAATAAAAATAAAACATTAAAAAAAACATCCAGTTTTAGATGATTTTCAATAATCTAAATAATAATAATTTCAGTAATCTAAATAATAATAATTTCAAAATCAATAATTTTCATCCAGTTTTAGAACATTTCCGTCATGCATGACTGTTTGCAATCAAGCCTCATTCCCAGCTTTCAGTCCCAGATGACCACTGACACACTATCTAGCCCATAGATTTACATTTTCCATAAGGTCCATTTAAATAGAATCATACAATATGTAGTCTTTTTGTCCTGTGAGTTTCATGTCACCATAATGATATTGAGGACCATTCATGTTGTTCTACATAATGATTTGTAGTTTTTCAGGGTTCACATTTTGGAGTAATAGTTTTATAGTTACAGTGTGCAAATCTTGCACTTCTTCTTGTACTTCCTAAGTACTTGCTGTGATACTATTATGAATGAAAGTTTTAAAAAATTTTATTTTTGGATTGTTTATTGCTGGCATATAGAAATAACAATTGATTATATATATTGATCCTGTATCCTGTGACTTTGGTGAACTATTTTATTAGTTCTAGTAGCTTTTAATGTTCTTCCAGAAGGAGATTTGCTTCTTCCTTTCCAATCTATATGCATTTAATTTTCTTTTCTTGCTTTATTGCATTGGCTAGTCTCCTGCAATGGTGAGTAGAAGATGTAACAGTAGACATCTTTGCCTTATTCCAGTTCTTAGGGGGAAATCATGAAGCTTTTCATCACTCATTATGACATCAGCTATACGTTTTCATAGATGCCGTTCATTGGGATTAAGGAAATTTCCTTCCATTCCTGGTTTACTGACAGTGATTATCATACATGAATGTGAATTTTGTCAAATTGAGAAAATTGTGTGGGTTTTTGTTGCTTTAATCTATTACTATTCATAAACCAATCTTGTGTTGCTGGGATAAATATCACTTGGAATGTTATATAATAACCCTTTTAAAAATGTAGCTGGGTTAATCAAGGGTTAATTAACATTAATTAATTAGCACCAAGAGTTTTTTCTACTTTCATTCGTAATATTGATCTTTAGGTTTTTTTTTTCTTGTGATTTTTTTCCTGACTTTGATATCAGTGTAGTACTGGCCTCAAAGAATGAGTTGGAAATATTTCCTTTTCTTGTATTTTCTGCAAGATTTTGTGCTTTTTAGAGAACCAGCTTTTTATTCCATTGATTTTTTAAAAATATTTTTCTGTTTTCCTTTTTCTTGATTTCTGCTCTAACATTTATTATTTTATTTCTTCTTCTTGCTTGAGTTTAATTTGCTCTTCTTTTCTAGTTTCTTAAGATGGAAACTTTGAGTATTTAGTTGAGGTCTTTCTTCTCTTTATTATGAACTTTTAATGCTATGAATTTACCACTAAGTGTTTATTACTTGCATTCTACACATTTTCATAGCTTCACTGAAATGTGATTGACATGTAAGAAGCTGCACGTATTTAAAACATGTAATTTGATATTTTGACATGTGTATAAATATCCAAGAATCACATTCAAGATAATAAGCATTTCTGTCACCTTCAAAAATTTAGTGGTCCTTTGTCATCCACCCACTCTTCCTTGTTGCTTCCAATTTTCTGTCTCATTATTCTGTTACTTAGAGTGAATTATTGAAATCTCTAACTATAATTATTGAATTCTCTATTTCTTCTTTCAGTTCTGTCAGGTTTTCCTTCTTGTGTTTGGGGGCTCTGTTATTAGATCCATACACATTTATGATTTTTATACCTTCCTGATGTATTAAGCCTGTTTATTATTATGAAATATCTCTTTTTCTCTAGAAACATATCTTGTCTTCGAAGAGATTTTGCTTTAATTAACATAGTCACTTTAATTGTATTGTTTCCATTCCATACCTTTCTCTATTCTTTTACTTTGATATATTTGTATCTTTGAGTCTAAAGTATGTATCTTAAAGATAGAATATAATAGAATCTTGCTTTAAAAATCCAATCAGATAATCTCTGCATTTTGTTTAGAATTTAGATCTTTCATATTAATATGATTATTGATAAGGTTGGATTTACATCTGCCATTTTGCTATTATTTTTCAGTATGTCTCATATATATTTTTATCCTTACTCTATTACATTATTTTGTGTTAAATTAGCATTTTAGTCGATCACTTTTATTCCTCTGTTTTTTAAAACTGTGTATTATTTTCAATAGTGGTTGCTCTATGGGTTTAAAATACACATATTGAGGCATCATAATTTATTTTTAGGCTAATTAGGCTATTTATTAGGCTAATACTGGCCCAATCAAAGTAAACTGTGGCTATTTTGCTTCAGTATTGCTTCATTTCCTCCTCATCCTTTGTAGAATTATTGTCATATATATTATGTCTATATGTGTTATAAGGCAATGACACAATTTTATCATTACTCTTGCATTCTTATATTTTTGAAGAAATAAAGAATAAAAAATACATTTAAACAGTCTTTTGTATTTACTCACATATTCATTATTTCTGGATTCTGCCTTTCTTCCTATAGATTTGAATTACTATCTGGGATCATTTCCTTTCACCTTGAAGAACTTCTTTTGGTATTTTGGCAGGTCAACTACCAAAAAACTTTCTTAGTGTTTATCTAAGAATACATTTAGTTTGCTTTTATTTTTGAAGTATCATTTTGCTGGATATAGGATTCTTGATTAACAGCTCTAATTTTCCCCCTAGCACTTTGAATATGTCATTCCACCTCCTCTGGCTTCCATTGTGTTGGAGACCAAGTTAGCTGTTATTCATTTTGTTATTCCTCTCTATATGCAGAGTCATTTTACCCTTGACACTTTCAATATTTTTTGTCTTTCAAGAGACTTATTACAATATTATTTATCTTATATTTGGTATAAGCTTCTTGCATCTGTAGATTGATCTTTTTCACCAAATTTGGGAACTTTTTGGAACTTATTTCTTTGAATATTCTTTTTTCTGTATTTCTCTCTATCTCCTCTCAAGTTTTGAATTCCCACTCTATGTGTGTTGGCATGCTTGATGGCCTATAAGTCTTTGAATCTCTATTAAAAAATTTCTTTGTTCTTTGTGTTCGATAAGTTCTATTTTGCTATTTTCTTTTTTTATATTAAAATTTTTCCATGTTTATTTATTTTTGAGAGGGGGGGGGGAGAGGCAGACACTGAATGCAAATCAGGCTCCAGGCTCTGAGCTGTCAGCACAGAGCCTGACGTGGGGCTGGAACTCATGAAATGTGAGAGTATGACCTGAGCCAAAGTCAGATGCCTAACCAACTGAGCCACCCAGGTGCCCCTATTTTGCTATTTTCAAGTTTACTGATTTTTTTTATTTTGCCATCTCAGATGTGATATTGGGGCATTTAGTGAATATTCATTTTGATTATTGTATTTTCACTATAGAATTTTCTTTTATTTTTATTCTATTATTTAAAAAATTTTATATTCTCTCTTTTTCTTCTTGGTTTGAGTCATTGTATTTTCCTTTAATTCATCAAAACAAATTTTTATTGAGATGATATTCACATACATAAAAGTAACTATTTTAAAGTATATAATTCAGTGGCATTTAGTACACTCACAATGTTATTCTAAAACATTTCATCACTCCAAAAAGAAATTTTGTACCCATTAAATGGTTGCTTCCAATTTCCCCTTCCCTTTGTCCCTGGCAACCACCAATCTGAATTATGTTTCTATTAATTTACCTATTCTGGGAATTTCATATAAATGTAATCATATACAATATATTGTGTCTGGTTTCTTTCACTGAGCATAATGTTTTTGAGGTTCATCAATATTATATTTCATTTCTCTTTGTGACTGAGTGATAAACATCAATGGACTTTTGGGTGGTTTCCAACTTTTTATTATTGTAAGTATTATAACTCTTACCATGCATGTCCATGTGTTTGTTTGTGTATGTGTTTTCAATTCTTTGGAGTATATTTCTAGGAGTGGAAAATGCTGGGTCACATGGTAATTCTAGATGTAGCGTTTTGGGGGATCACCAACTATTTTCCACAGTGGCTGTACCATATTACATTATCATCAGCAATGTATGAGGATTCTAATTTCTCTATATCCTTGCCGATTCTTCTTATTTTCTATGTGAAATGTGAGTGTTATCTCATTGTAGTTTTTATTTGCATTTCTTTCATAACTAATGCTGTTGAGCCTCTTTTCATAGACTTGTTGGATCTTTGTATATTTTCTTAGCAAAAATACATATTCAAGTACTTTGCCCATTTTTTAATTTGGTGTTTGTCTTTTTGCTGTTGACTTGTAGGAGTTCTTTATATATTCTGACGTCTAGAATATTATTAGAAACCTGATTTGCAAATATTTTCTCCCATTTTGTAGGTTGTCGTTTTACTTTCTTGACACTCTCCTTTGATGCGCAAAAATGTTTAATTTTTATGAAGTCCAATTTATTTATTTTTTTTCTGGGGGAGAGCACGAATGTAGCCCCTCCACCCCAAATTATGCGGTCAAGTTTCTCGCCTTTGGGACAATTACAGGGGTCAGCATATTTGAGTGCAATGGGTAAGTCTTGCGCTGGGAAAACCACCTTCCTAATCATGGTATCTCTACTGCCAGGTAAGTGGATTTTTTTTTGTTGTTGTTGTTGTTATTCATGCTTTTGGTGTCTTATCTGAGAATTCAAGATCAAAAGGTCCAAGATCATGAAGATTTACCCCTGAGTTTTCTTCTAAGATCTTTATGGCTTTGTTCTTATTTTTAGGTTGCTGGTCAATGTTTGAGTTAATATTTGCATATGGTGTAAAACAGGGCTTTTCCTTTAATTCTTGAAACATAGTGTTCTTTAATTCTTTGAACATATTTATTATAAGAGCTGCTTTGAAGTCTCTGCTAAATCCAAATCCAACATCTGAACCAATCATTAGTTTATAATGATTCCTTTTTACTCTTAGTATAGTTCATTCTTTCCTATTTCTTGACATATCTTGTGTTCTTTTGATTGAAAACTGGACATTGAAAAAAATATATTGAAATAAGATATGAAAACAAAAAAAAATATATTGTAGTAACTCTGGGTTGGCGTTTTTCTCCTGAAGGTTTTTTTCCTTAATAACTTGCTTGGACTTAGTTGGTAGAATCTGTCTTCTAAGCATGTGTAGCTAGATGTACTTTCTTAGTTTTTAAATTCTTTTTTTAAAATATTAATTCATTTTTTGAGAGAAGGGGGAGGGGGAGAGGGAGACACAGAATCCAAAGTAGGCTCCAGGCTCTGAGCTATCAGCACAGAGCCCGATGTGGGGCTTGAACTCACGAACCACAAGATCATGACTGGAGTCAAAGTCAGACGCTTAACCAACTGAGCCACTCAGCCACTCTAGTTTTTAAATTCTTATTTTTGTGTTTTAGCTTGGCTTCCTAAGAGTAGCTACTATATCTGCATAGATTCAAAGTCAGACAGTGATTTGGGAAGATGTTGTGCTTATGTGGCTTGGGCTCTTCCATGACCCCCACTATGCTGATTGATTGGTACTTAGGTTGGGGAGTGTGTTTCATGTCTAGGCAGTTTTCAACTTTGTCTTAAGGTTTAGTTTTCATTTTTTCTGGGCTCTCTTGAGTCTTCCCCACACATGCCAACAGTTCTTCAGGCAGCCACGAATGTGTGGGCAGCTTATTTAGCTCTTCCAGTATCTTCTCCATTAAATTTTTGGGTATTTCACCCCTCATCTCAAGTGGGGCTGCAACCTTACATGAACAAATCTATGTTTTTTTTCACATTAACTTCCTTCTGAGTTTGCACTTAAAATTTTTGTAATGTTTATTTATTTATTTTGAGAGAAAGAGAGAGAGAGAGAGCAAGCACAAGCAATGGAGGGAAAGAGAGAGGGAGAGAGAATCCCAAATAAGCACTGAACTGTCAGCACAGAGCCCAATGCTGAGTTCGAAGCCACAAACCAAGAGATCATGACCTGAGCTGAAATCAAGAGTCAGATACTCAATCAACTGAGCCACCCAGGCACCCCCTGAGTTTGCACTTTCACTGACAGTACCCCAGGTAGAGGTTTGCCTTCCACCCCAAAACAGGTCGGCCCCCTTTGTCAGTAGGGATGATGTTTTTCACAGCCAGCTTTGTCCTGACAAAGTCACAGTGCTGACTGATGTGGGAATGTGGACAGGAGAAGCCCTAGGAAGAAAGCCACAGGCTTCCACCGACTCAAAGTTCTAGCAGGTTTTCATGAAGAACCACTTCCAATTAGTCGTTTATCTTTGGTCAATTCCCAGTATCCTTAGCTGTTTGTATTTGATGACTTTATCCAGTTTTGTATTTGTTTTATGGGGCAAGAGGCTGCTGATCTTTCTTCTCCATCATGGCTGGAAATCCCACTACCACAACTGTTACTTGTAAGTTTGACTTTCCATTTTCACATGGTCAAATATATCACTGTTTCCTATAGTGTTATATTTAGGATTTATTTATCCCAAGATTACATTGTAATTAAGAGAAATTTTATTCTACAGTATCATGGCTTAATTTTCTATTCAAATTTTTAGTCCTTCAAATGTATTTCTTTCTTCATAAAGAGGTAGAGCTCTAGGGGCGCCTGGGTGGCTCAGTCAGCTAAGCGTGCAACCTCAGCTCAGGTCATGATCTCATGGTCCGTGAGTTCGAGCCCCATATCAGGCTCTGTGCTGACAGCTTAGAGCCTGGAGCCGGCTTCCGATTCTGTGTCTCCTTCTCTCTCTCTTCCCTTACCCCGCTCATGCTTGGTTTCTCTCTGTCTCAAAAATAGATAAAAACACTAAAAAAATAAAATAAAAGAAGTAGGGCTCTAGCTTATTTTTCCCTTTGTTGTTAGTTATTTAGCAGTCCCGTCCAATTTTTTAAATAATCTCTTTTTTTCCTGCTGATTTGAAAAACAATTGTTTGAATATTTGAGCGATATGTTTGCTTACTTGACTTTTCATTCCATTCCATTCATTTGGTTCTGTTTTGAACCAAACTTCACTGAAAGTGCCACAGTTTTTTTATTTTAATTTTTTAATGTTTATTTTATTTTTGAGACAGAGCATGAGTGGGGGAGGGGCAGAGAGAGAGGGAGACACAGAATCCGAAGCAGCCTCTAGGCTTTGAGCTGTCAGCACAGAGCCCAATGCAGGGCTCAAACTCAGAAGCCATGAGATCATGACCTGGGTTGAAGTCGGACGCTTAACCGACTGAGCCACCCAGGTGCCCCAAAAGTGCCACGGTTTTAATTATTATACCTTTAGAATAGATTCTAATGTAAAGTGTGACAAGATCCTCCCTCCTGCCTCCAATATTCCTGGTCATACGATGGATTCACATTTTTCATGCTATAAAATTAACGTGCATTCATCCACGCATTTGTCCATTCTTTCATCACACAGTTGTTTTTTGAGCTTGCGCTGCACAGGCATCTGCCACGGTGCCAGGCAGTGCAGCAACTGGGATGTGACAATGAGCAACCGCAGCATGGGGTCAGTCTTGCTGGAACCTGCCTTCTAGCATGGAGGCAGGGAAACAAAGTCAATGGACAAGTTAATAAAATAACTGAAAATCACAACACTGACTATGCAGCAAACCTTTGAGGGGGTGAGCTGGAGGGTGCTCCAGAGTGAGCCCATGCTTGCTGGGGTGGTTGGGGGGGTTCAAAGTCTGCAGGATGGGCAGCGGCCATGCAGGAGCTAAATGTTTTTATGTTTCTGGACACTTGTCCATTTGTCCCAACAGCATTCACTCTAAACTTAATCATTTTCCCATGGGGGTGGGAGCAAATAGTCCGAGCGATGAGAATGGCATGTGCGTACATACACTGTCATGGAAGAGAAGCTGAGGAGCCGAAGGAAAACCTGTGTGGTGGGTACCTGGCGCATAGGAGGGCTTGCGAAGGGGCAGGGGGTAAGCAGGGGACAGGTCTTATAGACCAGAGAGGGAAGTGTGGAGTGTGTTCTTAGTGCAGTGGGAAGCCCCTTAAGCCGCCTGCAGGACAGTGATGGCTTGTGTTTCTAGAAGCCCTCTCCTGCAGTGGGTGGGGTGGAGAAAGGGCTGTGGGAGCTGGGGGCGGGAGGACAGAACACGAGTTAGCAGGAGTTTGCATGGGTGCGAAGGGCCGGTGCTAGTGGTGTAGTCCAAACAGGCGGGAAGCAGGGTGGCGGCCAGGGGCTGGGTAGCAGGTCCCGCTGCTGAACCAGATGTGGGGCAGATGGAAAGGCAGGTGAAAAGCTTGGGGACAGTTCTGTCCCCTTGCAGATTCTGGAAATGAGCTTTTAGCTGTAAACTGGAAAAGGACAGAGGAAGAACTTGTGCTTTGGCAGCTGCCTTTTTTGCAGGCAGCTTCTACCCTGAGGTTGGAGCCTAAGCGGCATCTTGGGGGATGATTGATGCAGGGATGTGGCACACTTCATTGACGGTCCTGCGGTGTGGACAGTGAACGAGTGACTCTGAGCCTTTCAGGGGGCGTCACACACCAGGACTGGGAAGGGCCTCAGATGCAACCGAAAAGCCAATCGGTGTGAGAGGAAGACATAAACAATTGACAGAATGTTATGGGCTGCACAGAAATGTCAGGATATTAAAGTGGGTGTCTGAGAAAACAGAAAGTTGCAATCTGAAATGATGAATAAGCCACTGACAGTTGTCGCAGAATGTGTGAGAGCATGTGTGAGCAGCGAGGAAGCAGAGCTGAACTCTGGGCAGCAGGCGGTGGTGGGCACGGCGCCCAGCCAGGCCCTCCCGCGGCCCGGGATGCAGCCGAGATGCTTGCCTACGGATTCCTGTTGTGAGGCCTCCACCCTTCCGGTCACGTTCTCCAGCTTTGCTTCCCGACTGGAGTGGGAATTCCATCAGGGCAGTGTGCCAGGTGGCCTGAGATTCCTGCTCCATAGGGGTGTGTGTGCGCGTGCCCTGTATAACCCCTCCCCGTGAACGTGGGTGAGATGTGTCAAGGTAATATGCTGCATGGAAAAGGTAAAAGGATTTTGCAGATGTGACTCAGGTCCCACATGACTTGGTTGTGAGCTAATCAAAACAGAGATTATCCTGGGTGGGCCTGACCTAATCAGGCGAACCCTATAAAAGAGGGTAGAGAAGTCAGGGACTTGAAGCAGCAGAGAGGCTCTCCGGTTGGTCTGGAAGAAGCAAGCTTCTGTGTTGTGGAGAAGGGCCACTGGGCAAGGACCTGTGTGGTGGCTTCTAGGTGCTGAGGGCCTCAGTCTTATAACCACAAGGAACTAGATTTCTGCCAATGCCCAGTGAGCTTGGAAGAGGACCCCAGGCCTCGGCGGAGGTCATAGCCCTGGCCAACACCTTGACTGCAGCCCAGCGAGACCCTCAGCAGAAGACTCAGCTGAGCTGCACCCAGAGTCCTGACTTGGGAACTTTGAGATACTAACTGGGTGTTTTAATCTGCTCAGTTTGTGGTAATTTGTGTGAAGTGGTAGACGGTTTACCCGGGCAGGGACGACCTTGCCTTGTTCATTGCCGTGTCCTAGGAGCAGGTGGATGGCCTGGCCCAGAGCACATATTCAACACATGCTTGTTAGATGAATAGGTGAATGGACAGATGTTGGGTAAATGGGAGCTTGCGTGTGCTCTTGCTGATGGGGGTGG